ATCACATGTGATTTCAGTTAGGGTGAATGTTGTTTTGTTTGGGTTTTGGGCTTGGGCTTTGTTATTAGGTCTAGGTATAAATAGTGTTAGTTAGGCCTTGTAATGTGAGGGGACGTTTTGGGGGCTGCCATAAGCCAAGAACGAGATCTAGAGTGAAATAGAGAGAAAACCGTGTGTAATCGGAATCTTATGTACCGGACGATTAATCAATATATCGCGTGCATTGAAGATTAATTATCTTGTTCTTATTCATCTTATATCTTGCATTATACACTTTGATGGGGTTCCACACCATCAAAGTGAATCTGATTGATACGTAGGAGAATTCAGGACTTACAGATACCAATTGTTAGAATAAATAATAGTAGATCGAAAGATTCTTAACATAAAAGTAAATCAAACAATGAATGCAATGATCAAACTGGTGTCGAATGATTAATAATAATTGCCTTAGAAGAGCTCGATGAAGAACTTCTACTATAAAGGCAAGTAGGGCAAAATTACAATCAAATCAATCAGTGCCCTAATACGGTGCATGCATGCACTATATATAGTCTAACCCAAGAAACTTTAAATATCGGGTGGACAGGCCTAACCCATTACAAATGGACTATTATAGTACAAAACATTATTGACACAACACAAAATATCCCAACATAGTTTTGTGCTGGTGAATTGACTCGAAATGCTAAGAAGTTATGTGTAGGGTGAATTGACTCAAAATGCTAAAAAGTTAATTTTATTGTTTCTATAGCATTCCTTGAACCAACCATTTTATAATTCTTAACATCTATAACCAAAAACCTCAACTAGAAGCATCTTCATGTGACTTCCGTAACTCCTTCGCACTTTCAACATTTTGGTAGATATTAAATGAATAATTAGATATACCATTTAAGATGTTGTTTGCAAACGTAATCATCATTCTATTATTTACTTTGGTTTTTAGTGAATACCAAAGTATTATGTTCCATAACTTCTAGCAGAGGGTACTTAATAAATACACCACTTTCACTTTCAAGGTTGTTAGAAGAAAATGAATTTTCTTTTTCCAACATCTAAAATTGTTCATTTCATATTTACAAAATTTAATGTGATTTCTTTCATATATTCATAGTTACTCATGATTATAAATAAATTTATCAATTAATATTAGAAAATACACTCGGTTTTGACGATCAAACAATTGATGGAAATTCTAAGGCATCATGTAAGTTTCATTATCCTTAATTGATAATTCAACCTTATACATGGGTTATATATATTTCAATATAAGATAATCCATAAAAGGTACTTTTCGGTTTTAGACACAGAAAGGAAAAGCATCATGTAGGATTATTCTAATATCTTTGGAGTTCCAAAAATGGAGTGTTATGAGTAGATATACACATACTATCTACAAATAGGGCAATTATCACGAAAATAACGACTTCAAATAATTACCAAAAAATTTTGAAAAGTGATTGGCAGATTGAGTTGCCCACAAACCCTAATCAAACGTTTTTAACTCCATGGCAACTTGGGTTGCGAGCTATACCCTGTTGTCTAATACGAAGGATGACCGACTTTACGAGCTAATCCATTTTGGTTGCAACACCCGTTTTCCAGGATGGATCAGCTAAAGACTTAAGGGGATCAAAGATGGGATTTTTTTTTGGAAAAACCTTATGCGATGACATGGTGCACGGATGACCACGACGTGGCAATGCGTTAATGGAACTCACATTTTTGGAAAGCACCACGACGTGGCAAGATGATTTCCATGACGTGGTGAGTACTATAGCCCAAGCCCATGGATTTTTAGGGTTTCTCCCATATTTAAACACCTTAAATCTTGGATTACAACATCTCCTTCAGCCTCCATCTACCCATTACGAAACCCTAGCCTCTCTAACATGGTTGTAAGCTTGGTGACTTGATCTTGAGGTTGTTCTTCTTGATTTGGTGAAGCTCGTGAAGAAAGGAACTGCTTCTTGGTGCAAGGAAGCATAGAGCAAGACTAGATCCATCATCTTCTTCATGTTTCTGGGTCCTTAAAGATATAAATATTGCACCTTGACCTTGTTGTTTTGATATTCATATTCATGGACATCATTGGTTGGTTTTGGTCCCATTCTTGGATGCTCTTGGATTTTGAGGAACTCCAGAGCTTGGTATGTCATTTTTATGGTCTTGGACCTATGTTGAGTAATAATACGGTCTTAGCTTGAGAGATCTTGGTCCCATGTATAGTTTAAGACACTTGGCGTCTTGGTATGCTAGACTGGTAGGGTCTTGCTTGTTAATCGTATGATATTGTTAGGAGTTATGTTTGGTTGGGGTAGGCCAGTCTTCAGGATTATGTATGACTGAACAGTGAAGGACATAATTGAGAAGTGGTCAATGACAGGGTAACTAAGGAAGGCTAGCTGCTAAGGGTATGGATAAGCTAGTATATGTTATGTGTTTATGTTACATGGTCAGGTGCTAATGATATCTTCGGTTCTATGTAGTTTAAGTTGGATAGCCTGAGAACTCTTAGTCTAATGGATGATTGTGATGTTCTTGTCTGATTCTTCGCTCTAGGGTGGGTCATCAGTTCGACTGTCTATCTGATCCTTGACTACATACGACTTTATGTATTGTATGAAAGACCAGGATCTGGCTCCTAGCAATTGTATGGAAGACCAAGATCTGGCCCCTAAAAATTACATGGAAGACCAGGATCTGACTCCTGGAAATTATATAAAAGGCCATGATCTTGCCCCTAGCAGTTGTATGGAAGACCAGGATCTGGCCCCTGGCAGTTGTATGTAAGACCGGGATTTTGCCCATGGAAAAATGTGATTGTAAGACTACGATTTGGCCTATAGCTTTCACTCGGGGTTGGAGCATACCCATTATTTCATGCATAACTGTTATGTGTGTTTATGTGGATAAGAGATTTGGTTGATCGGCGCTAGAGATGAACACTTTGTGTGGATGCATTGTATGTATAATGGAATATGTGGTACTCTGGAGAATTCGCTAAGCTTTAGGCTTACAGTTGTGGATTAAACATTTTACAGGTCGTACGTGAGAAGAGCTCGGCAGGATTGTACACACACATCGAAGATGTTCGTTTCTGTGGTTTTGTAAATTTAACTCTGATAATGTATGGTTTCAATAAAAAAAAATGTTAATCAATGGTTTTTGAAGCAAAGGTTTAATTGGTTATTTTTTTATAAATGAAAATTCTATTTGTAATTTTCGGGACGTTACATTGATCCTAAGAAATTTAATATTTTCCTTATTCCTTCATCCAAGGGGCGCTTCCTGTTTCATTGTTGTTAGAATCAAACAGATCTTATACAAATTTAAACTTTGTACCACCTAACTTGTAATATATTATAGTATATTTGATTCCTTTTTGACATGTATAACTTCCAAATATACTAAATGGACATTAGAAATTACAGTCACCAACAAATCGTGTAGCTATTAAATCATCGAATTAACAACTGTATTAGTTAAGATTTTTGAAGACTAATCTAAGGGAATTTTGGTTAAGTTATTCATTATATTTATTTATGTCGTCACGTCTTGGAATATATTGTAAGACATTGACTATTGCACCAGAGGACGTTATAGGCATGTTGTGACTTCTTATTATTATATTTGTTTTTAAGGCCATCGGTTATGGGGGAACACACCAAGTAGCTCCATCTCACCTACATCTTCTTCTGTATCACTACCATCTCATTCCACACCATTATTGGTGTATCTGCAACAAAGAGATAATGAAAGAGAGGTAGAGAGAAAAAGAGAATATATTGGATGTGGTCTTTCATGGTATAAACCACAAACGTTAACGATCATGGTTTTAAGTTAGCACCACAAGACCTCCATAGTGGTATGCACGGTCGTTGTCCTCCTTCAGCTCATCACTACGTGACCGTTATTCCATGTATACCCAATGAACTAAATATTGTTAGAATATTTCCATGTAATGTCTACTCTTGTTTCTGTAAGCTTGATGTTGTTGGTCACTTGTATCAGACGGAAGATGACATGCTACTACACACTACACAGTACGTCAAGGACATGTGTCATTACTCTGTTAGAAGTTCTGAGCCTTATGCCACAAATTTCTTTCCTTATAAATAGTTGGATGAGGTTCATTTGTAAGCAACAATTTCGGATTTTCACTTTGTAATTATCTCTCTAGAACCATATGCATAATGAAATATTTCTTAGTCATGGACGTGTTTGACAAAACTAGTTGGTACCTGGTAGTTGAAAGTTGAAAATTGTAGTTTTTGTTTGTTATATGAGTGTTTGATAAATGTATCTGAAAGATTTTGAAATGTGTAAAATTACGTAAAAATACAATTATTTTAAAAAGATAAATACATAAATATATTTTGAAGAGCAATTCTGGAAACTAATTTAAAAAAAAAAAACTCAATAGTTTTTCTAAAAGCCGCATGAAATAGTTTTTAGACTTAAAACTTTTACAAACACTGATACATCCAAACAAAGTTTTTGCTAAAATCAATCTTTTTTTTTTAAACTAAAAGCTAAAAACTTTCAAACTCTCACGTTCAAACACACCCTCCTTGCTCATATTGATTTCTTTATTCCACGTCGTAATTTGAGGTTTTATTAATAATGTAAAAAAATTTAACACCACATATATAACCGAATCTATAATATTATATTAATTAGTGATAAAACATACTCGCAACTTAATAAACGACTTTCATACTTAAACCATTTAATGAACCTAAAGCTTTTAAAAAAATGGATAATATTGTTTCTAAAGATGCTTATATAAAAGACGTAGCAAAGGAATTAGCAACGGGACTCCATTATGCTTCAAGTGGTAAAAGGTGAAAATTTGTTAATCACACCATCAACCAGCAAACCTTCCTTAATCTTTACTCGAAAATCCCACTTGTCCAATTTTTAATTCTTATTCACAATCTCCACTTCTCTACTTACATGCACATACCCCCATCTTAATCTTCACTTCAAGGCCACCACCAAACCCAAGAATGGATCCTCCACCACCCACCACCGCCCTCCACCACCATTACCAAGACTCACTAGAATCCTCCTCCGTCTCCTCCCCCACCAGCCGCCAGTGGGACGAAACTCTACCACCACCAAAACTCCGAATGATGTGCAGCTTCGGTGGACACATCATCCCTCGTCCCCACGACAAATCCCTCTGTTACATGGGCGGTGAAACCCGGATTGTTGTCGCCGATCGCCACACTTCACTTGCAGACCTTTGCTGCCGCCTCTCCACCACCCTCCTCAATGGCCGCCAGTTCAGCCTCAAATACCAGCTCCCAAGTGAAGATCTTGATTCACTTGTATCTGTCTCCACCGATGAAGATCTGGATAACATGGTGGAAGAATATGATCGGTTGAATGCATCTAATCCCTCAGCAAAACCCGCTAGATTGAGATTATTCTTGTTCCTATCAAAACCCGAAACTGCAGCTTCCATGGGATCGTTACTTGACGATGCAAAATCTGAAACGTGGTTTGTTGATGCATTAAACGGCGCCGGACTGCTCCCTAGAGGGTTGTCGGATTCTGCCACCATTGATAACTTACTTGAACATAAAGATGGGACAACTCAAGAGGATAGAGATAACTACACGGAATCTGAGATGCAACGTCGTCGTTTAGATGTGCAGCTAAATTTGCCGGATTCTCCGTTGGTGGAAACAACGTCGTCGTTTGGATCTAGCTCTTCATCTCCTTCAATGTCGAATTTGCCGCCAATCAAGGTGAGGGTGGATCAGATGAATCAGATGGCGGGACTGGATGAGCAGTTGTCACAGTTGAATGTGAATGTTCTTCCGCCGCCTGTTCCTGTGAATAACGTCGGCGGTTGGGCTGCTGTAGTGACATCCGCCGGAGGTGGCACGACTGTTTCGGATGATGAGAGATCCGATCACGGAGCACTCAGTGGTGGGATGAGGAAGCCGCCGTTGCCGCTTCAGCCTGTGCAAAGGAAGTTTGGTCATGATGCTTACAACTTGCCTTCGCCAGACTCGAAGCACGGTGGCGCGTATGGATTACACTCGCCTGATTCCATAGCCAGGTAAACCCCCTGTCCCTGTTTGTTACCCGTTGATGTCAACTCAATTAACCAGAATATTTTTTTTTAATTCATTACATTAAATTTAGTGTAAGATTTAATGTGTTCCATGAAGATGGTTTTTTACACGTTCATCTTAAATTTAATATTTTGAGAGCTTCGATAAGTTTGAAAAGTTATTTTAAATTACCTAATAATAATTCTTTGTTGCAAACCGAATTCTACTACTATTATCGTAATAATAATTCTTTGTTGCAAAAAGAACATAACAAAAACTCATTCTTTTCTTGAATATTTTACATCTCTTTTCTTGATTCACTAAAGATTTACAAAAAATCTCTTTTCTTGATTCACTAAAGATTTACATAAACCATTCTTAAATTAGATCGAAAGATTTTATTTAATAAAACCAATTATTTTCACCTTCTAACCCCCAAATCGAGTCCAAAAACTTGGATTTTAAAACTAAGAAGATGATCAACTAGAAACAATGTAAACGTTGTAGGAAACAATTCTGCAAAAAAGAGGTACCTCGAGAACATTTGCGAGATTTAATCTATTCACAAATTCGTAATTAAAATTAGCAAGCTTTTGTTCGAGAAATAAAGTCATGAATTAGCACGTCTTTTTCATTATTTAGAGGGTTATTTATGATATTTTTTGTGTTAATGCCATGACAAGCAATAATACGAAATTTGTTTTATAGGACATTTATATTTTTAGTATATTAATAGGCCATAACCTTTTTTACCGGTTGAAATATGTTCTGATGATGAATCCAACTTTTTAAAAAGGTTAAATAGTACGTTAAATACAATTAAAAGACAAATAACCTAAAAACAGATTCTTTAAAATTGTTGTCGGTTTATAAAATTAAATAACCTTAAAAACAAACTGTTTAACATTATTGTCATTTTATAACATTATAATACAAATAACCTTAAAAAACAAATTTTTTATATTGTTGTAATTTTATAACGTTTTTTTTTTCCTTAAAATTCGGGTTATATGATGATAGGAGAGACCCCACCCCACGTGTAATTTTAGTCAATAACCCTTAAGAATATGATATAATAAGTACAAAAATACACATCAAATAAAGAATAAAGAAATAAGTTAAATGACCCTTATTTATAACATAATGTTTGCCAACTTTCCAATGCATACGCATTCAATAGAATACTAATCGTATTCCTAATTTTATGTTATGATCAAAATGTTTTACAGTGATAGCAGCATTGCATCGGCAAACTGTCACTCGAAGTCCACATTCACTCAAGATCCAAACCCCTCGTTAACCAGAGACACCGGAACTCCACCAGCAACCACCCAACAAGTCTACTCCACCACCACCGCCGCCACCATGTCCACCATGAACTACCAAATCCCAATCCAACAAATCCCTGATTACGCTGACACACAACCACCGCCACCACAACAACAACAACTTAACCAAGATCAACAACAACAATTCTATCAAACTCGACCACATTACATCCACAACCAGCCACCGCCACCCGGTTCATCTTACTATCCAGTCTACGCCCCACCACCACAAATGGACCACCAACAATACCCGCTCTACTTTCTCCCAGTATCGCAAAACCACCAATACGGTATGCAAATGCAGTCCAACCCACCGGATGCCGCCACCAACCCCACCGCCATTCCATCTTCTGCCGCCGTCCCCCCACTTTACCCAACCAAAACCGCTGTCCAGATGAGTACAACACCAGGGATGATTCAAATCCCAAGCAACCAATTCCAACAGCAGTATGTGAATGTCTCTCAAATCCCTCATCATCCTCCTACACCATTGCCGAATTCGAGTGGTGGAAAGTACGGATATGAATACGCCCACCCGACCCAAGACCAGGTTTATTACTCGAACCACCACTCAGTGGCTGCACCGTTGCCTTCACAGTATCAGACCATGTCTCCGGCATCAGCCATGTTGTTGACGCAAGTGTCGCCGCCTCAGCAACCGACATCGGAAAGTGCCAAACAGTAGTCGGAATTGAGCCGGAGGGAATCTCTAAAATGGAATTGATTTGGGAATAGAAATGAAGAAACTAATATCATCTTCGATCGGTGGAATATGATGGACGCCAAGGCTTAGGTGTGGCTTATCTTAGGGCTCATGAGGTGATGTGTTTAATAATTTGAAAGTATTGGTTTGGGATGATTGCTATAGTAGTTGTATTTATAAGATTATGAAACAGAATAAATTTTAATTTTACAAATAATATAGGTTTGAAAAATGATAAATCATATCGTCTGTTGGGTTAATCGGTTTCCCGGGTCATGGGTCGAAGTTGCGGATACGGTTCAAT